TATCACTGCAAAAACTATAAGGTGTGTTAACAATTCTAATTATGTATGGAGTACACATAACAACATGAAATCATTTATTTCGATATGACCTCTGCTTTCGAATCAATGATGTCGATCCAGATGATGTAAATAAAAAATTACAGTATTTATATAGAATTTATTGTGTGTTATTATGTTGTCATCTAGTACAATAACAATGTTGGTCATGCTGGAGAGGAAATCTGCTCAAAATTCATTTCCTTGTGATCAAGACTCTTTAAAGATACTCAAAAACTATCTAGCCAGGCGATGATCCGGATTGATGACAAGGACAGAAGAGAGTGGTCCACTTGTCAAATCATGTTCACATAAAAAGATTAAAGATAGACAAACCTCTATACCGACAGATTTCACATAAATTCTTACAGTAAATATGAAAGATTTTCAAAAGAGATAAAGCATAAACCCAGACAACAACATTCCGTAAAGAAATATCATAACAATTTATAATATACATTACATTCTCCGTGTTATTGCTAGGCAGGTCAAGGATCTTTGGCCTTATTGATTATCAAATATTTCCATGTCTAATTTTTTTCTCATTGATAACTTTTTGAAAGTTGGATGAGTCTATTTCTTGATAACTCTGCCGGAATGCAAATTAGGCAGGTCGATATGTCAGTAGCTAAGGAGGCATGCAAATCTCGTGCGCACCCGTCTCTGTATCTGACGCTAAGGAGGCCAAATATTATGTAAATCTCGTGCGACTGCCTTTTGGTTTGACCTCAGTGTGCGAGGACTATTGAAATTGGCATGGAAGTCCTCGTGTATTTTATATTTATTAGTCTACATTTTTAAAGTCTTAATGTACATTTTTTTCACATTGAAATGGAATTATAAGGAATCACTTTCTAGTTAGGAGAGTATGCCAGGGACATCAACAATAGTGGGAAACATGGAATAATTTTAGCAAAACGGGCTTCGCCCGATATGCAAATTATCCCATGTTTCCCACTATTATTGATGCCCTGGCATACTCTCCAAACTAGACAGTGGTTCTTTAAATGGAACTAAAACAAATCCAAAGTACAGTGTATTAAGCAGGGCGTCATATTTTAAAGACTGGCTTTTCACTCAATAAGTGAATTTGGTTTAGGATGAGAAAGTCTTAGTATTGAAGTTTATCGTCCCGAGACAGCAAATTATTTACCGAAAATAGAAAATTTTTATTATGATTTTATATATATTATACATACTGCATTTAGATAACATTCATGCTATAAGCGATACATTTAGCTAAACTGTTTATACTCCAATGACGCAGATTTTTTTCCAAAAACTTTTACATGAAATGAGGAAAACATGAACATATTGTTATCGACATTTTAATGCATCGACGATGTTCACAATAACAGTTATTTTCATTAATATGTAGACTCGATATATCCCAGTGAACTTTAAAGAAAAGACACATCTGTTTCATATTTGGATGGATATGGAAATAACGAACAGTATTCAATCTCAACGATATTTTATTGAATATAGACTAAAAACTGAATTCGATGACAAAAAAGATGATCCCAACTTTTCCTTCGTCGATTTTCCTCAATTTATAGTAATATTCCACTGACACCTGCATAAACAAGTGTTTATGTCGCTTAACTTTTACAACATAGAAGAGTTTTCTTTGAAAGCGATCCAATTTTTAAGGCGAAGCAGGCTACTCATTGATAAGTTTATAATACATGTAAAAAGGTTTCAACAGTAGTAGCAGAATAGGGCTCCTGGCGAAAATTGTGCCAAAGTTTAATTAGGTTTCCGAAAAAAATATACAATTATATGCTAGTAGCTTTTATTTTACCTCTGTGAATTTTTCTGTTCACAAATAAGACGAATGGGCATGTTTTTTTCTTAACAGCCCCTACCATTAAAAAGTTTTTTGTGCAATTTGCAAATGGTGAAATGATCATCAAACTATTAACCGGGAATATTCTTCTTCTGATCTTATCCGCGGATTGTGAAGTACAGATTTTGACGAAACTCAGGACAGCGAGGATGTGCCTCGAGGAAATTAAACAAATGCTGTCTTGGAGGACGATAAACTTGCTATTGTCCTCAACACCAGTAGATGGGTGTATAGTATATATGTGCAGTGAAACCTGTCTAACCTGACATGCACCGGCAGACGAATAGACAGTCTGTCGGACGACATAGTGTATCACTGAAAAATAAAATGAAATAGAAATTTTACGTCGGAATATGACATTGTGTTGTATATTTAAGAAATAACTGTCTTATTTTTCGAATTCATGAAGTGATCAATAGATTGGCTTGTGCGATAATTTGCATAAACGCCTAATTTGCTTGTCAAGAAATTTCTGGGTTTGTTTTTTTTTTGGTGGGAGGGGGGGGGGGCTGGGGTAGAACCCCCCCCCCCTGGAAAAAAATTCTGGATCCGCTCATGGAATACCCTTTTTTAAGATTTGTAAATAATTAAAATACGATTGAAACTGTGTATATGCCCCTATAAATTGCAAATAGGGGACAAAGACATTTCACCAATATAAACTTCATTTTTGTTTCAAATAATCTGTTAGAAAGGATGATTTTTTACCATGCTTGTACTAGCATCTCTTTTATATAATCTATTAGAAATGTTTACATACAAGATAATTCCAAAAGAGTATAAACTTTATATCAATAGTATTTTCTCCATAATTATTAAAAGAAATCCGGAACGGTGTACATAAAGAAAGCGAATGAAAATAATGCAAATTAAATTGCTTTCACAATACAGCTAAGACGAATTAAACTAATCTACAGTAAATCAATTTGAATTAAAGTAATTTGTTCTCAGTGTGAACAGGGTATTAAGATTCGATGTTGTTTTACTTTTGAAGGATGCAATCAATCGTACACGATTATTTAATGCCTGAGCAGTCAATAGACCAGAATTTTTTTCCCTCGGTGCAGGGAACAGCTCAGTGTGTTCTATTGCTCTTATACCTAGATATGATACATTTGTAATTTTAATTAAAGATTGATTGTATAGATATTGTTTACATTTCTCTCGAAAATTGTTCACTCTTATGGAGTCGCCACCACATCCCGGTGGAGAGGGGCCTTTTTCCTGTCAGAAGAGCACCTACTGCTACAAAGACCTAAGTTGACAGGTCTCACCCGAAGGACCAGTCTCCACATCCCACTGTGTATTAATTAAAAGTAACTCTCATGAAATAAAATATCCGACCATTGAAATCACACAAATTTTAAAACCAATGCAGAAAGATCGAATAAGATAATTGTTTACCATGTCTATGCAGTGTTACAAACAACTTAATTCGAAGCCCGGATCGTTTTTGACAAAATACGTCACCGGTCAATGGAACGCACATTCTATTGACCGGTCAATAGAACGCGCATTCTATTAACCGGTCAATAGATCGGTTTGAAAAGTTAAGAAAAACTGAAAGCATATCCAGAATAGATGAAAATATTAAATCTCTAATAAAACAACAAAATTCACTTGATTAGGTAATAATGCTATATGCTATAATCTGAATCTTGGATATTTGACTGGCTCCGTGGCAAAGCAAATGGAAGGTGAGAGAGGACGGGATTGTGGAGAGGTTGGGTTTCAAACAAATGAATTTATTTTACCAAAGACCAAATAATTTGAAAAGCAAAATCGGGGTAGGGGTGTCATTCACGCCGGGGAAATATGACTTCTAGTGCAGCGAGGAGGTTTTTGAAAACTGAGAGAAATATGTCACTTCATAAACAGGAGATAAACACCTGTTAGGAACATAGGTACTTCTTGAACAAAAAATTAGTGGAAAAAATACAAACAAGGAAACATGGTCTCCGTTTCAAAGGTTGTCCTTTAATTTATACATGAATGTTTGGTCAGTCTGTAAATATTGTAGTCATAATTGACAAAAGTTAATTCATGTTGATTGAAATGCTTTTCTGTACAGTCCAAAATGTTGCATATTAAAACAGCTAGAAGCTTTTTGGGGGGGAAATCGGCCTTTTCATTATAACTTTTACACCATAGATTATATCTGTAGCCGACATCGACGACTTTTTCATCTTTGCTTAAGGTTTCGTCGAAGGTCAACATGTCTTAAGAATTAATTTTACAATTGCTCCAAAATTATGTGTGGTATGAAGTCAAAACTTTTACATTTTGTAAATATATCACTGATTAATAGAAAGAAAGTATTACATGATAACAAATATTTTTACAAAGATATTTTGTGAGAAAAATTGTATCAGAAAATGTGCATATTTTAAAAAAAATGCACCTGCTTTATTCTGTCCTTTTTGTGAAAACCAACATTGTAGATATAATTTATGTTTATCATTGAAGGGCAAGTTGGGCATGAATGGTCTCTGAAAGCCTGTTATTGAAAGCATGACATGTATAAAGACAAGACCCCTATAAAATCCGCCATTTGCAGTGTACTTTCACTTTCAAGTCTTAACATTTGGACAAAATAAACAAGGAAAACAACTTTCCAGAGGCTATCCAAGTCCTACTTGCCCTTCATTGATAAACATATTTTGTTTCTGCAATTATGGTTTTCACTAAAAGCATAGAATTAATTAGGTGTATTTTTTTTTTTGAAATTATAGGCATTTTTAAGAAGATTTTTTCTCAATTAATATTATTCCAAGTATTATTTTTATCAACTGATACTTTCTATCTGTTAAACAATAAATAATTTATAAACTGTAAAAGTTTTAACTTTATACCTTACATACTTGTGTGGCTATTGTAAAAATAAAATTTTGGACATGATGCCCTTTGACGAGACCTTAATTAAAAAAGTATATTATTGTACGTTTTAATTAAGCAGATATTATCATATGTTTTATAATCATTTTATCTAAAGAGTTTTAAACAAGAGTTTCTGAGCCGACTGCATCACATTTTTTTCGTGACCTTTTCACGGGATTTTCCAACGCCTTGAAAAAAAAAGCGCGTGCGTCCTCTTTTCGCTTTGCGAAGTCAGCAACAAACCACGCTCACTAGAGAGTTGATCTTGAGATTTGGAATATTAATATTTTTCTGTTTTATTTCGAATTTAATAAGTTCATATTTTGTTTAATTTCTTTTTAAATTGTGTTTTCTTTTTTAGCTTTGCTGTTTGATGTAAATTTGCGCTTTATATACCGATATAAATATATATTGTGTTTTTCTTCTTCTAAATTTGGATTTTACAGTGCTTATTCATTCCGGGGACGGATCAAGAAGGTAATCTCTCTATTTCTATCATTCTGTCTATAACTCTTTTTTTCTTTCTCACTCTCTTACCCGTCTCTCTAGTTTAATTGATCTAGATATATTAACTCGATCATGGTTTTAATTCTGCAGTGTTTTATTAAGAATGGATGTTTAATCGCAAATATACTGTTAATGTCCAAATACTGACTAAACAATAAAGTTCTAGAAAGCGTTTTGTTCCACTGTCCATTTGCATGTACACGTCCTCTTAGCATGACTCATGACATACACGTTCAGATAAGACGCCGATGTAATGTTTTACTTTGAAAAGAAAAATTACAGCTAGCCGTTCATTCCACAAACTAAAGAGTTCTTAAAATCAATTAAGCATTCTAACCAATATTGAGTAGCAAAATCTTTTACAAAACATTTTTTTATGATGAATAATTTTTCTTTAAAGAAAATAGTAAATTGAGGTTTATAAACAAAAAATTTAGAAATCATGGATTGGCATTTTTCTGAAATATTACAGTGTAAGTTACTGTTACGTGTATATATACAGTAATCTTTTCCGTGCATATCAATACTATCTTTTATTTCCAATTTCAGCAATTAGTTATGAGGAACAGAGAAGAAAAAAAGTTGTATTTACTAGTATTTGTCTTTATTTTTGTTTAAAATTCATATTTTTGTAATTATTTTTTGTAATTTTTTTTTTTAATTTTGAAGTAGAAAAAGACAACCAAAGTCTTAAGAAATGATAGGTTTTTGGAACCTATGAAAAGCAGCATCTAAGACCATATTTTAGTCTATTTTTCCTGTTTGTGCAAGTAAAAATAGTTCTGTGCCCCATGACATTCAATGGCTTTCATATTTTATACCCCCGCTTGAAAAGCTGGAGGGTATATTGTTATATCCGTCCGTCTGTACTTCCGTCCGTCTGTTACGCTTTGAGGTACCAATCTCTTATCCGCATTTCCTCTCATATACCACCAAATGGAATTTAATGAAACTTTCACAGAATCTTCATCACATATTGTGCAACTCCTAATCTTGATCTGACACTTATTTTGGTTTTACCATAGCAAAACATTGACACTGCCATTTTATACATCTGGGAGGCGGGGGGGGGGGTAGTGAACTAATTCCTCACAATACCTCTACTTGGCTTCGTTTTTACATATTGATTACCTATGAATAACTATAAAACAGTCAAATACCCTCCAATATAATTCAAAATTTCGCCAAGTGACGTTTCATGAATATCAAAATTCTTAATGCGCTTCAACTCTGTTATATATATAATTTTATTTAAATGTGGATGTAAAGTAAACGTGCTAAATGTAGCATGCTCCGTGGAGCATGTTTTATCAAAGTATAGCTGTTTATTTTTAAAGGGTCATCGGGAAACACCAAATCTTTGTATATTTGTTGGAAAATAGGTGAAGTTTTTATCTGGAGAGTTTTTACCGGTTTCATTGCAATAGCGCGCCCACAAAAGAACTTGACCGCCAACTTTTCTAACAACCATCGTTTAATTTTCTTGGGGGGGGGGGGGGGGGGAAGAGCAGTAGACCTATATATTTGTTTATACCTTAAAAAAATAGATATACCAAAAGTGGGATCAGTAATCTATGTATATAATTCCGGGAAGGTATTGCACTATGACTTAGAATTCATAAAACAGTTTGGGAAAAAAAGTTGGAATGTGAAAAATGCGAGTATGCTTCACAACTTTACCACGGAATATAGAAATATCTTTTCAAAGTATAGAACAAATAACCATCGTCTGCATAAATTGAATATGTGGAAAGAGACGAAACAGTGTGCTTTTTATGTAAATGGATAAGAATCAAATTGGTTTTACAGTAATGTTCTCGTGTTTATATTATGTAATATTCGAAAAGATTTTCTATTAAAGAAATACTATGTACATCCAATTATAAAATTCTGCAATACTAGCATTCTTAAGAAAATGGTTTATTATGTATCACCATATAATTTCTTATACTGTCGGTCGCCCTGTTAACTTTGCTCGTCCATAATTATTGTAAATATGTATATGTATGGCACGCCAAATTCACAAAAAAGAGATAAACCTAGTTTCACAATTGATAAACTAGGTTTATCGACTGTAAACTATAGTTTACAAACCGTAAACTATAGTTAACGATTCGTTAAGTATAGTTTTCATCTGTAAAACTATATTTAACGGTTGTTAACTATAGTTTACGAATGATAATCTATGTTTATCTGTCTGTAATAAAGCGTTAACAAGAGATTTTGTTGATAAACATAGATTCACATTTGTAAACTATAATTCACAATCGTAAACTATAGTTAAGAGTTGTTAATCATAGTTTCACAAATCGGAACTATATTTATCAGTTAACAGTTAACTATAGTTAAGAGTTGTTAACCATAGTTTCACAAATCGAAACTATATTTATCAGTTAACAGTTAACTATAGTTAAGAGTAGTAAACTATAGTTTACAAATCGTAAAACTGTATTTATCAGATTATCTATGTTTTGCAATCGCAAATGATTGTTTTCAGTGTTAAGTATAGTTTACGGTTGTGAAACATAGATTATCGCGTTAACTATGGTTTACGGATGTAAAATATAGATTAACGTTGTTAACTATAGTTTACAGACTGTAAACTATAGTTTACAACCGATAAACCTAGTTTATCGACTGTGAAACTATGTTTAGCTCATTTTTGTGAATTTGGCGTGCCATATATATGTTATGAGTAATTTCCAACTACAATATATTGCTTAATGGTATTGTAACCTCTCAACCAGTAGTGATGTTGCTTGTAATTCATAAATGCTAACTTTTTTTTAGATGGCAGGAACCAGAGAACTCAGAAGCAGTCGGGCGAAGGAATGTGTGCGTACCTTTGGAATATACTAGTATATCAAATGACTTTGGTTTTGCTTCAAAAATGAGGAATTAACGTGAAACGTTTTACTCCAGGCAATACCCTTTGATGTCGCTAAGGAGGAGGCCCTGAGGTACATCATCCTAGGAGAAGATAAGCCAGGTTGCTCTGTAAAAGAAGTGGATCCGTTTATAGGTGAGGACACGCACACCCTCACCCACCCTTACAAACATCCTCCCTTATACACACATACCTTCCCTAACACCCTATCCCTCACACACACACACACACACACACAGAGAGAGAGAGAGAGAGAGAGAGAGAGAGAGAGAGAGAGAGAGAGAGAGAGAGAGAGAGAGAGAGTTAGTTAAATTTAACCAATGGTATTTGAAATTTTATTACGACTATATAAGATATTTCCTATTCCTCTATTGCAAGTTCGATTTTCAGAAGTCATATTGCCATATACATGCAAGCTTTTGACAGCTGAACATCGAATTCTGACAAAATAAGACGAACAAATACAAGTATGCTAGCATTTTTAAATAAATATGCACACCACTAAACTTATTCTCTATTGAGAAGTTGACTCCTCGAGGGGGGTATTAAAACGAACCATCAACTTGTCAATAGAGAATAGACTAAAATAAGCAGGCTCTTGGATTTGATGCCCTGTCATGAAAGGCATATATAGAAATTTAAAAGAGCCATGCAGCTGCGGCTGACCTGCAACTAATTGACTAATTTGTAAACTATACAATGTACGCACTAAAGACAGAGCATGTACATAAATTGATGTAAAATGATAATCAAATAATACTTCAAAAACTCAAAACAAGCTTTATTTTATCATGCAGATGACATTTATAATTAAGGAGTATTATTTTTCTTTCTTTTAAAGCATCGTTCCGAAAATCTCTTATGAGTTTTTCATTTTTCTTCATTTTGTTTTAAAAAGAAAACTTTGAACTTTTTATAGTACCTGGGTGATTTAACAAAGACAAAAGGTAAAAAAAAATGGCGCCAGCGCTTGATCCGCCTTTGGAAATGAAAAAAAGACAGAACACTTTGGTTTAAGCTGAAAAATTTAGCGAATCATTTTGAAACCCGATCCTTCGCTAACGAAAAGTAGAATTCACCAAGCACACGTTTTACACTCTTAAATCTAACCTGTCAACTTCAGCGACGACTGGGGGCCTATCTACGGGGATAAAATTGAAAATCATTATCACATCCAAGAATAGTCGCGTCTCTGTGTAATGTCAGTGGATCAGCCAAGAAATATATTTATGTGTACGTGAACAAACATTCATCTGATCGAAGCTTAGACTGAAAAATATGCATGTACATGTAATAATTATATACACAAAACATGTAAAGACCCAAATATGAATAAGTTTAGTTTATACTACAGTAGCTGTAAATCAGTTGTTGTTAATTTTTTTCTCCACGAAAATTTACGTATTAAATAATATGTATTCTATACATTTATAAAGATAAATAATAAATTTACAAAATATATTTATCTTTATATAAGTGACCGTGCTTTCACTTAATCAATTTCATTTACAATGACGGTTGTACATAATAATTTACAAACTTAAAAATAATGCAGTTTTAAACACTCACAATAAAAGGATCACTTCAATAACAATTTAATATTGTCATTTTCGATCCCCTGACAAAAATTACATAATCTATACTTGCAACCAAACTGCATTAAAAAAAAAAATCTTTATTCTGAGTATAGTTATACATGATAACGATAAGAGATAAAAAACATATATAGCATATGGAAGGTGACTGTACATGTTTTTTTTTTGATAAAATGAAGCCGAATTTTTTAATTCGATAATGCTATTTATACAGTGCGTTCCAAATGCAATTTTTGTATCATGGGTGGATACAGGATTTCTGATAGCGAGCTAGGGCGTGGATAACTTCGTTCAGACAGTACAAGTGGGTCCAGGGATTACATGTGTTTTTAGAGTAAAACCAGACACAAAACTAACGTATCAAAGTATGACATTAATACTAGTCGTATCATACTTTGAGAGGGGGGGGGGGGACTCCTTGGTTTTCGTGTATTTTAAGGGTAAAAATCAGGCACAAAATAGTGGTGTTGATATATTGTATATGGTGTATAAGAAACGCAGAATTATACCGTCTAATTTCCATAATGGACATCGTTACAAAATGTCAAGAGTTGTGAAATTTTCCAATTTTATGGAGCACTACAAAATATGACAGATCTTTATATATTTAAGATTTTTGCAAAAACATAACAAAAAATATAAATAATTATATCAGTGCTTTTCTCAGATTTTTATGTTTACTTTTCAAAATTTTATATTTCATCTCTTTTTCTTTTTATAACATTTTTATGACCCCCTCTGAAAGAAATTCGAAAAACGTCAATAAAAAACACTTTAAATATTACAACTTCAATCAACCCAGGCGTGGATTCTAGAAATTTTTTAAAGGGGAGGGGTAACCCAGTTCAAGGATTTTTCAAAGGGGGTTGAAGGGGAAAAGAGTTATCATATAACGTACGTTTTACACATACATGTACACGTAAAAAAAATTCAATAGAATACCAGTCGGAGTATAATGGTTTTAAACGTAAGAAGTTGATCAACCTGGGAAAGAGTACTTGTATGGATAACCCGATTACCTGAAAATTTTTTGAAACGAAAAGCAAATATTTTTCCGAACCCGAAAATCCTATTTTGTAAAGAGGTGGGGTTTCATTTTGTATTCACAACCGAATTCTTTATACATGATAAGGCAACATTCGTCTTTCACTGAACATTTTCTATTGTAAAAAACGAACAAATAGTTGGAACTTTCTTCTTTTTCTTTTTTTTTTTTAATTTGCAAATCCAAACGGGGGGGGGGGGGGGGGGGGGGGGGGGGGGGGGGGGGGAGGTGCAACCCCCCGTAATTCCCCCGAACCCTCTGGATCCGCCACTGCTACCTATATCGATTGCCGAATTGTGAAAAAATCAGTCACATAACATTGTTATAAGATTTCTAAAATAAAACTTTTTTTTACGTCTAATTACAGTGTATAAAAAATGTACGAAAAATCAGTATGTTATACTTTATTTATTTATTTTTTTTTTTATGCAATACATGCATTTGCTTTAGGAATTTACATCGGGATCGAAATGCTATTTTTACTGGGCCACAATGGCGCCGAATGCGAAAAAGTGATGAATTTTCATTATTTTGGGATCTGTTTATTAAAGTGCTCTGTTTCGTGCCATTAAGCGAAAACTGAAAAACGGAACAATGTGCTTAAAATACGTGAAGTGGGCATGTGGAGCTTACCTTTAGTTAGGCTGCCACGCAGTGGACGCTAAGAACATGGCCTTCTGTATCATGGTATGTTGTGTGTTTCTAAAACGCTGAACGGAAAACGGAACGGAACGGTATCTATAATTTTAGACTAAAATAAAGTTCTAAAATTATGCAAAATTTATCACAATCGATAACTCTTGATAGATTAAATCCCCCATTGTTAGATACAATCTGATTTAGTCATTTTCAGTCTCTTATTCGCGAAAATCTCAGACATAAAAGTATAGATAGAATCACGGGAGTCGGCAGTTTTATCAATAAAGCAATGTAAACTAACCTATGAGCTTCACGAGCGTAGCGAGCTAAGCGACAGGAATGCAACGCGATTTTGGAGATTTTTGCTCTGCCGCTTTATTTGGTCAAAATAACAAACGTGTGCAACTCAATTCATATCAGTTGATGTATCCCACCTGATTTCTGGTGCATTCCCCTTCTTAATCGACATTATTGACCCTAAAATCTGACATAAACAATATTTTAACAACAAAAGAATCAGCCGCCACAAGGGTTTTCCCGTGACGTCACAGTTCTATGTTGAACTGAGTTTGAATTCTCCTATGCAACTAAAAATTTAAATAATTGAAAAAAGTCTTAAATCATTAATTTATTTGTGTTTTTTTTTTTTTTTTTTTTTTTTTTTATATTTTTGAAGCAATAATATACCAAAAAATGTTTTTAAAATGAAGTAAAACTTACCAAAGTCAATGCACACAATTTGAATATATCGTGACGTCACATGAAAACCCTCATGGCGGCTGATTCTTTTTGAAATGTTGTTTATGTCAGATTTTAGGGTCAATATCAACCATTAAGAGGGGGACTAAACCAGAAATCAGGTGGGACACATCAACTGACATGAATTGATGTCGCGTTTGTTATTTTGACCAAATAAAGCTGCAGAGCATATAGTCTAAGCATTATGACTTTTCAATGTAACCTTGTTTTCAATCATTTTGTAATATTAATATTCACAGTTTTGATAAAGAATTTTAAAATAAGACAATGAACATTAACTTGTACTGTATCACGATACATACATGGCGATATGATATGCGTATCCTGAGACCTTGAGATAATACGTATCGATGTATTGCTGTATTGTTACACCTCTTATATATACAGACTTGTCGAAATTTTTTAATTGCTGTCAGACATTTCGTCTGACACGGTCGAATGTTTTGTCGGACCAGTCAAACTTTTGTCAGACCAGATACTTGTACGTTATTTTGATGCTGGTAAAATCATATGAATAACAGCACAAAAATGTCCTTTATTATTTTCAATAGCCTTCAATCTAACAAGTTTCCTTTCTTGGGATAAGAGCGTCATGAACATAGACATAAATGACAAGTTTTATGACTTCGCTATAACAAATTTACTTAGATAGCGTCAACATGCTGTGTTATTAAATTTGCAATTACGCTCATTTTTTTCAAACAGTCATCTGGACTGGCGTTTTCTGAAATGCTCTCGGTCCAGACAAATTTTTACCGGCCTTGCTGACAGGACCAACGGATTTCCACAAGTCTGTATATATGAATAAAAAACAATAGGCTTTGCAAGTATATGAGTAGGCATTATTACATCTTCATTAGTTCCTTACCCATTAAACAGGAGGGGACCTCTGCGTCTGTCTGTCCATTTGTCTGCCTGTCTGTCATCGATCCATCCGTCTGTCTGTCTGTCCCCGTCTGTCTTTCAGTCTGTCCCACTTGGTTCTCTTGGCTTCGCCTCGCCCAATACAGATTTCCATTTCAAACCCTGTATGAATCTGTATTAGGACACTAACTGACTGTGTAACTAATAGTATATGTCATGTAAGGGGTTAAACAGAACATATTGAAAATGCATGCCAAATTTTTAAGTCCCGGCAAAATTCTTAACATTTCTTTACACATAAACTCTTGTAAAACCAGCCACCCCTGAAACCGGACACCGGCCAATTTTCCAAGAACAAAAGTTGAGAAACATAGGAAATTTCCCCTCATCATACCGGCCACTTTTTGATTGCATGAAATCTTATTGTCATTGGCCAGAGGGATAAATGACGGGCTGGAGGTGTGAAAAATAGCCTACCCACGAGAAGTAAGAGGTGTGAAAAACTGAATATGGCCTCATAAGGTTTTCTCTTGTTTAGCTGTCGAAGGGGTAGTCATTGTACCAGACTACGTAAATGGCCGGTCTAAGCTGTGTACATATGATTAACATCAATTAAACTTTGATAAATAAAATATCAAGCAACTAATTGCCTAAATTTAAATCACATTACGAATCAACAAAATAGTGAACGACATATTGCATCATCGTTTTAAAAACACATAAGAGTCCTTAAAATTGGAAACTGATAAAAAATGCTCAGAAAAACAAGATGTGTTTCTGAAACACTGATGCCCCCGTATGTCAACGTAGCGAAGGCTAAGCTTTCTCAAATGCAGCTAAAGTAAGGCCTTTTCACAAGAAATACAAATGTGAAATATAAAACACTAGCACCATCTGTTCAAGGGTTATTAGCATGGTTAACATTTTTAAAGGTAGGACAAACTCTGGGGTCAAGGTCAAAGGGTTAAGGTTGTTGGTTTCTAAAGAAAGACCTTGTCTTACAGATGACATATGGGAAGTATGAAAGCACTGGCCCTCACTATGAAAAAGTTATGATCAATGTTAAAGTTTGTAAAAAGAAGGTAAAATTTCAAGGTCAAAGGTTCTTGATATCCAATGAAAGGTCTTGTCATATGGATTACACAAGCCCTAGCCATTAACATTCAAAAGTAATGACCAAGGTTAAAGTTCTTTTGTAAGTACAAAAATCTCCAAAGTCAAGGTCAAAATTGATGGTTTCAAATGAAAGGTCTTACCAATAAGAATTGATATTTTAAATGTTGAATTCCTAGTATCTACCATTTAAAAATTAGGGTCAAAGTAAAAGTTTGGAATTCTTGTGTAAAAGGGGGTCAAACTCAAAGGTCAAGGTCAAAGGGTCAAGATTCTTGGTATAGAATGAAAGGTCTTGTTACAAGAAATGCATATATGAAGTATGAAAGCCCTACTCCTAACCTTTCCAAAATTATGGTCAAGGTTGTATATTTTTAAAGTAGGTAAAACTCCAAGGTCAAGGTCAAAGGGTCAAGGTTTTTGGTATCCTATAAAGCGTCTTTCCACAAGGAATACATATGTGAAGTATGTAAGCCCTGGCAATTTCTGTTCAAAAGTTATAGCCAAGGTTAAAGTTTTTTCGTAAGTACAAAAACCCCCAAGGTCAAGGTCAAAAGGTCAAGGTTGTTGATATCAAATGAAAGTTCTTTTACACAAACAATACATATGTCAAGTATTAATGTCCTGGTATATACTGTTCAAAAGATATGGCCAAAGTACAAGTTCAAAATTTTTGTGTAAAAGTTGGTCAAACTCCAAGGTCAAGGTCGAAAGGTCAAATTTGGTGGTACCCCAAAAAGGTTTTGTCACAAGAAATTCACATGTGAAATATGAGGGTCATAGCTCCACTAAATCAAAAGTTATGGGCTAGGTTAAAGTAAAGACAAACAGACAAACTGAAAGACAGAGAGACAGACAGACAGATAGCTAGACAGACAGAAGGACATGACAAAAACTGTATACCCCCGAAACTTTGTTTACCAGGGGTACATAAAAAAAGAAAATGTTTACCAAAATACACATTTCATAATTAAAATAACAGAAGTTTTGCACAGAAATGTTTTGATTATTTACTTTTAACTGAAGTACAAACAATTTTTTTAATGACGTAAGCGTTAAACAGATACACATGCAGTATTCTGTATTGAGTTCAGTTAAAGGTAAAGGGTTTGCTCTATTTCTTCGCATATGGTTATTAAAGTTACTTTCCATATTTTTTCTGTTCTAATTTATAAAAAATCAACATGTATGTCGAATTTAGCATCACTTACAATAAATTGTTTTTTTTAGACCTTACATTACAACTCTCTACCGATAATTAATATCATTTAGACAAATAGTTTAAAAGACACCAATTATATTTTTCCTGGCATCTGTCATACAGTTGTGCACTTTTTAGCTCACCTGAGCCGAAGGCTCAAATGAGCTTTTCTGATCACATTTTGTCCGGCGTCCGTCTGTCCGTCTGTCTGTCTGTCTGTCTGTAAACTTTTCACATTTTTGACTTCTTCTCAAGAACCGCTGGGCCAATTTCAACCAAACTTGCCACAAAGTATCCTTGGGTGAAGGGGATTCAAGTTTGTTCAAATGAAGGGCCACGCCCTTATTCAAGGGGAGATAATTGGGAATTAATGAAAATTTAGTGGTATATTTTAAAAATCTTCTTCTCAAGAACCACTGCGCCAGGAAAGATGAAACTTATGGGGAAACATCCTCAGGTAGTGTAGATTCAAGTTTGTTCAAATCATGACCCCCCGGGGTAGGGCCGAGCCAAAATGGCCGACCAAAGTTTTACATAGTAATATATAGGAAAATTCTTTAAAAATCTTTTTCTCAAGAATGACTAAGCCATAATTCATCATATTTATATTGAAGCATGCTCAGGTAGTGTAGATTCAAGTTTGTTCAAATCATGACCCTCAGGGGTAGGGTGGGGCCAAAATGGCCGACCAAAGTTTTACGTAGAAATATATAGGAAAATTCTTTAAAAATCTTCTTCTCAAGAATGACAAAGCCATAATTCATCATATTTATATTGAAGCATGCTCAGGTAGTGTAGATTCAATTTTGTTCAAATCATGACCCCCGGGGGTAGGGCGGGGCCAAAATGGCCGACCAAAGTTTTACATAGAAATATATAGGAAAATTCTTTAAAAATCTTCTTCTCAAGAATGACTAAGCCATAATTCATCATATTTATATTGAAGCATGCTCAGGTAGTGTAGATTCAAGTTTGTTCAAATCATGACCCCCGGGGGTAGGGCGGGGCCAAAATGGCCGACCAAAGTTTTACATAGAAATATATAGGAAAATTCTTTAAAAATCTTCTTCTCAAGAATGACAAAGCCATAATTCATCATATTTATACGGAAACATGCTCAGGTAGTGTAGATTCAAGTTTGTTCAAATCATGACCCCCGTGGGTAGGGCGGGGCCAAAATGGCCAACCAAAGTTTTACATAAAGATATATAGGAAAATTCTTTAAAAATCTTCTTCTCAAGAATGACTAAGCCATTATTCATCATTTTTTTTTATGGAAGCATGCTCAGGTAGTGTAGATTGAAGTTTTTTTTAAATCATGATCCCTGGGGGTAGGGAGGGGCCAAAATGGCCGATTAAAGTTTTACATAGAAATATATAGGAAAATTCTTCAAAAATCTTCTTCTCAATCATTTTCTAAAAAATAGCAAATCCATGATTGGTCATGGGACTACGTTTGGAGTTAAACTTTACAATAAAAAGCCATTTTATAATAGTCCTACCCTTGATACTCAGGTGAGCGATGTGGCCCATGGGCCTCTTGTTCAGTATACAAAGATTCTTGGGAAACCTACCACCCTAGCTGCAATAATATAGCCCTCTCTGATTTTTTTATCTGATATTTTCTGGAGAGGGCTACAATTCCATCGCATCTCCGTAATGGTGCAAATATATATTTTTGATACGGGCAATTGAAGGCAAAATAAATTATTTTTACATAAACCTACTTTTTTTAAGACGGAATTTTTATTCACTGTCAACAACATAGCCTGTTAATGAACTTGAAAACCATCATGTAAAATAAATCAGTGTCTTTCCCAGCTGCAATATTTTCAGCAGCCATGACAGTTAACGCGTGATGTAGTAAGACTTTCGCTTGAAATTTGGAACAACTAAATGAAGCAAATGTGGATGTTTATAAACGATTGTGCTATAATATATCACAAAAACATCGATAAATAAAACAATTTCAAGCGTTATTTTTGTGCAAGTAGCGATACGTATGCTTAAAATAAGGGAATTCCTAGTAGATCCGCTCCTATAGAACCTAAATTCTCATTGGCTGTCCCAAAATACAATCCATCAAGGTCAGTAAACATGGCGGATAAATTCAAGTTAACCTGTTGACACACACGAAAAATAACAGATATATGGATCGTTGTGAATATTTTTGTATTGATCTATGTTTTGCATAATTACATTTTTGGATTCCAGGTAAGAGATGATAATAAAATAGCCGTTTACTGATAATTTGAGCTGAAATCCGTGCGGGAGTGATCCACTGCCGCATCTGCGCTATTATAGAGATCCTAAGGAGTTGAAGCCCTCCCCCCCCCCCCCCCCCCCCCCAAAAAAAAAAGAAAATCGAAGAGGGCTACATTATTGCAGCTACTACTGCCCCCTCTTGTCTGACCATTCAATTCAGTCCTGCAGCTGGCCGGTTAGAGAAGTTTTACTGTATGAAGAAAATATGTTGTGAGATTTGCATTACTTACACTGATAACATTCGATGAGGTGATCTTCATAAACTTTGATTATCTATGTTTAGGAAAAGGGTTGTATGCAGAAAAGGAGTATCGCAAAGGTGAATTTATCGTGGAATATTCCGGAAAACTTTTAATCAGGAGCGACGGACTGGAGCGAGAGAAATCCTACCCATTAAAGAAAGGAAGCTACATTTACTTCTTTGCTTGGGACAGTAAGAAGTACTGGTATGTAATCTTTATATTTGTGACATACCGTATAACGGGTATTTTCTGCGGTTGTCCAATTTTTGCGGAATTTTGCGGATAGGACAAATCCGCAAAAAATACAATTGCAAAATATTTAAAATATACCTTCAGGTATTCTATACATGCATGTATGATAAGTGGTGCGTCTGCAGACTCCCTGTCTTTGTTCGCGAGAAAATTTGGGTGACATCGAAACTCTGATAGGTGCAAACAAAATATGACAGCTTTTCTTTTCTTTCTTATTTTCCACTTTTCATTTTTTTTTGTTTTGTCTTGAGACCGTGATTAATATTTAATACCGCTTGTGTACACAACATGGTTTAATGGTCTCCTGAATTTTATTCAAATCAGACGACTGACAGTATTAGTTACACCTCAATGCGTGTGACACGTGCGATTACGGGGTGATTGATTATGCAACTGTTTGTTATACCCCCCGCAAACGAAGTTTAGGGGGGGTATATTGGAATCACCATGTCCGTCTGTCCGTCTGTCCGTCTGTCTGTAGACGAGACTTTGTCCGGACCATTACTCAGAAACTATTGGAAGGATTTGTCTGAAAATTTGTACACATATTATTCACCATATGAAGTTGTGCACCTGATATTTTTCATCTTGATTGGATTATTATTTTGAATTTTACAGGTGTTTTTTCATTTTTATTTTGGAGTTTTGTTTGGACCGTTTCTCAGAAACTATTGCAAGGATTAATCTGAAAATTTGTACAATTATTATTCACCATATGAATTTTGCACCTGGAATTTTCAACTCTTTTTGTTCATTTTTCTGCATTTTACAGGTTTTTAGGTCACCTGAGTAAACTCAGGTGACCTATTGCTATCCGTTTTCGTCCGTCGTCGTCCGTCGTGCGTCGTGCGTTAACATTTAAACATTTTCAGCTTCTTCTCTGAAACCACTGAACCAATTTCAACCAAATTTGGCATATAGCATCTATGGGTGAAGGGGAACAAAAATTGTGAATTTCCTGGTCCCCGCCCCCCTGGGGCCTGTGGGGTGGGGCAAAAACCACTAAAAATAGTGCAATCTTTAAAAATCTTCTTCTTTACTCCCTGACATCAAGCAGTCAAACTGTTGGTATGATTGTAATCAGCATTGAGTCCTCTACCAAAATTGTGAAATTCATGGCCCCAGGGTCAGGGGTTCTGGTGTTAGGGCGGGGCTCTATTGATTATATAGTTAAAATGCAGTAAGTCTTTAAAAATCTTCTTCTCTGCTCCTGGGTATTAAATAAACAAATTAAGTTCATAGTTATGATGAGCAAGAGTGGCTCTACCAAATTTTTGAATTTTATAACCCCAGGGTCAGGGGTTCTGGTGTTAGGGTGGGGTTCTATTAATAATATAGTGAAAATGCATTATTTCTTTGAAAATCTTCTTCTCTGTTCCTGAGTATTAAATGAACTAATTAAGCACATAGTTATGATGAGCAAGAGTGTCTCTTAATAAATTGTGAATTTTATGGCCCCAGGGTCAGGGGTTCTGGTGTTAGGGCGGGGCTCTATATTGATTATATAATGAAAATGCATTAAATCTTTGAAAATCTTCTTCTCTGCTCCTAGGTATAAAAAACACTAATTCAGTAAATAATTATGATGAGCAAGAGTGCCTCTACCAAAATTGTGAAATTCATGGCCCCAGGGTCAGGGGTTCTGGTGTTAGGGCGGGGCTCTATATTGATTAGGGTGAGTTCACCATGCATTGGACACATACCTTGCTTCGGACAACTTTAGGCAATAAACTCTCTTTCAACTTAAGAGTTCTGTGTATTTATTTGTTTCTGTCAAAAAGATGAAGATTTAAATTTTTTAATGATACCGATTGTGTTTATCATATTGTGATAAAAATACCCCGCAAATGGCCTTGAAGTTACGTCATATTTTACATCATCAAAGGGGAATAACCCGAAATTTATGATTTTGCGATTTTTAGAGTTATCGTTCTTTTAAATTCGACTTCAACGGAACGAGTCGTACTTTGGTGAATTTTGTCAAGGATTGGTAATTTTACAAAAATTAAAAAGAAATTTCACTTCAATGTTTGTTTAATTCTTATTAGAGCTGATTTTTACTAGTATGCTAATTTCACCGTACATTGGACAAAAATTGACCATGCATCGGACACTTTTCGATGCAAAGGTAAGCACTACCATATTCATACAGAACCCAGCTGACAGCTGTTTTTTGCCGAAAAAGAAAATAAAAACTCTATATTTTCAGTCAAAATACAAGTTATCGATATATGACGTCTGGAATTTAACTCAATTTATTTTTACAAACCAGAGTATGATAAACCATGAGAAAAAGGCGCGAATTACCGCATTGTAAACATTTTAAAGCATTTCTATGGCAGACATAGGGGCTTGTCTTCCGGATTGATAAGTGTAAAATAATTTTTCAAAAAAAGATTTCGATGAACAGTGTTGCTGTGGTTACTAAAAATAGAAATATCTGTAAAATTGTTTCAAAATGCTACTCCTCCTTGGTCTGATTTCAATATATCTTGGCACACAAGTAGACAACACTAAGAACTTAAAGAGACTTTATCGACGATCATTATTCTATTTATTGCTGTTGTAAAGTTTCAAATCCCAGCTGCTTATGGACTTTCTCTTCCTTTGCTATATGTTGAAAACCAGTAGAGCTTTAGTCTCGACAGAGACTTCTGGTTATTCCCAAGTAACTATAAGACCTACCCGAACCAAACTTGCATGGATGATGCATCTAGGGATGTACACTACCAGACTTGCTTCGTATGCTGGTTCTGACCTTCTTTTTTACTCCCAAGTAACTATAAGACATACCTGAACCAAACATGCATGGATGATGCATCTAGGGATGGACACTACCAGACTTGCTTCGTATGCTGGATCTGACCTACATTTTCATTCCCAAGTAACTACAAGACCTACCCGAACCAAACTTGCATGGATGATGCATCTAGGGATGTACACTACCAGACTTGCTTCGGATGCTGGATCTGACCTGTTTCGTCCTGTGCCAGTTGACTTAGTTCTTCTTGGAAGGATGTATCGTCCTGCGCCAGTTGACTTAGTTCTTCTTGGAAGGATGTTTCGTCCTGTGCCAGTTGACTTAGTTCTTCTTGGAAGGATGTTTCGTCCTGCGCCAGTTGACTTAGTTCTTCTTGGAAGGATGTTTCGTCCTGTGCCAGTTGACTTAGTTCTTCTTGGAAGGATGTTTCGTCCTGCGCCAGTTGACTTAGTTCTTCTTGGAAGGATGTTTCGTCCTGTGCCAGTTGACTTAGTTCTTCTTGGAAGGATGTTTCGTCCTGCGCCAGTTGACTTAGTTCTTCTTGGAAGGATGTTTCGTCCTGCGCCAGTTGACTTAGTTCTTCTTGGAAGGATGTATCGTCCTGCGCCAGTTGATTTAGTTCTTCTTGGAAGGATGTATCGTCCTGCGCCAGTTGACTTAGTTCTTCTTGGAAGGATGTTTCGTCCTGCGCCAGTTGACTTAGTTCTTCTGGGAAGGATGTTTCGTCCTGTGCCAGTTGACTTAGTTCTTCTGGGAAGGATGTTTCGTCTTACTAATCAATGAACCTAAGGGTCTAGCATATATGGTATAAATTTGCAGATTTCCACCAGCAAGTGGTGGTCTCCATATGAGTAAAAAATTTTCAAGAGTTGCTGTAAATGTTAAACAATTAACGAACAAAATAATAATCTATTTCAAAATATTGTATCTATATTTCTACAATTGTGTACCCCATTCAAAAATTAGCTTTTCAATCACGTAATCATATTATGCATTTTTGAAATATTTGCTCCAATATTGAAGGACACTTGTCATTTTTAGCTGGGCCAATTGCTCGTAGAGCAATACCTGGCTTTTGTGATGGCATTCAACAGAAAATGCTGCTTCGATCATTACTGCTAAATCAAATTTATGTGTAAGAATATAGTATGTTTCTGCAATCTGCTTTGAGGCAATACAAGAATAATATTGAGATATTAACCAACAGTATTCAATCTCAAAGTCCATTAAACAATATACAAATAAAAGCAGAGCAAACATGGACATCCGAAACATCAGAGGTGGGATCAGGTGCAATGGAGGAGTGAGCATCCCCTGCCGACTGGTCACACCCGCCATTTGCTCGTTGTCATGATTAGGAAATAACTGAAAAAATCTGTCGTCAATTCAGTGTATAAATAATGGACTAACAATTGGTATGAAAAACGTCAGTCAGCATTTGACTCAATGATAAATTGTATTTGCTGACAAGGTCATTTTATCGACAATAGAATTTATGAAATGATGACTTTTATCGAGAATGTTGATATTTGTTGTGGAAAGAATAGAAATGCGTCTTGATCGTATAGTGGTTTATTTAAGACTCTGTTATTAACTATAGAAACATAACGTACAGTATTGTGACGTAATAATAACGTTAACGTACGTGACATAAACCCATGGATAATCCGTGACACTCCGGGCACCGAAATGAATTATAATAGAATATTAAAAAGTTCAAATCAAATTAACAGTTCATTGAAATTAAACAAGTTCATAATCACTTAATTAAGAGGTCCATTCACGGATTCTTTCTCTAGCTTTAGTTTTTGTCACTCAATCCTTTTCTGTTCAGACACATTTATCAGCTTTTTTATCAGTCTCAATTCTGGGATGTTTGTGAAGACGTACTTCTGTGTTAGTTTTATCCAGCTCCATGTTTTGAGTCCGTAGATTGGCATTTTGTTTATTATCTCTGCCATGTCCCTGAGATTCTTTTCCTGTGATTTTTCTTTCTCCTTCTCCTCGGCCTCTGTATGGTTTTCTGTCATCTGAGTTCCTGCCCTTAGTGCGTCATCATGGATCCTTGTGGCGAACGTGTAATCCTTCTCTCTACTTTCCACGGGGCCCTTCGAGGTTTGTAGCTGATTTTCAAGTGTCTGTACTTTGATATTTAGCCCCCTTATTTGCCTTTGAGCGTAATCATGTTGTG